CAAAGCATCTCGTATCAGAAATCTGAACTTTGGTAATAAAAGTCAATAAGTATTGATTTCTAGAAGTCCAACTGATTTCTAGGTACATGTCAAAGCTAGTGAGAGCATAAATGTTATGCTAGTAAAAGTAATGATTATTATGCTAGTGGGAGCATAATCAATTATAATGAATGTTGCAAGTTAGCAATGTTAATTATAGAAAACAAAAGTTTCAATTCGCAAAGTTGCAGGGTTTGAAAAGTTGTTTTACTATAATTAAGGGAGAGGAATTCATACTTCGTTTCAAATCTAAAAGCTTAAATTGAGATTTTAATCAGATTTAGTCAAAATATATATATGAATGATATGTTGGAATGGTTCAACATAAGGAAATTCTTTATATGGAAATATTATTTGTGTTCTAAAATTCGATTATGATTACGGCATCCCTTTTCGTAATTCGAATTATGAGAACATGACAAATAGAAATAGAAATATTATAGCAAAAGACTGGTCCAATATTATATCTTTATGTGAGACATCATGAATCGTGTCACATATGCTTCGGATATAAGATCGATTATATGTGCTGTAATATTCATTCGTTCTAATTTTCCAAATGCCTACGGCATTAAGAGGGAAAAAAAGTCTAGAACCGGATATGACTAAAATGGTTAAGCAATTGTCGAGGACAATCTGAAGTTTACCAAAGATTGGTTGCTCATGTACAGTTGGAAGTATATGTTAAATTTTGGAAATAACCATATTGACATACTCTGAGAAGAGATAATTCTTGTTCAGAAGTGATGGTCAAAATGAGAATATGGAAATGTTTCCATAAGTGGAAGCTATTCGTTAAATATGTGTAAGATTAGAAAACTTTATGCAAAAAGGATGTTCAAAGGAATGTACTTTGAAATTGAGACCTCGCTTCCATGGAATTGTCTTGAAACAATATCCAAAGGAATACTTTATAATATCATTGGTCAAGTCTCCGTGACTTTTGGTACCTAGACATTACAAAGGAATCATTGCATGATAGTTTAGAATCTAACACATTCTGGCAGTGACAAGAATTTGGAATTCTTACACTAGTGATAAAGATTTGGAATTGTGAAATAAGTTTCATTGAAGATGTGTTCAATTGATCTATTTCAAAAAGTAAGAACCATTGACAAACATAGTGTGCATGCTTGGAGCATGGCATAGCTATTGTTTTAATTCAAGTATTGAGTTGATTATTTGAAACATTATACAATGAATAATGAGTAATCAATATGACCCAAAAGTTTTTGGGCCATATAAGATTAGTATTATTATTGTGTTTCACTTTGCATGTTTTGACTTCCAGAATAACTAGGTTATTCAAACCATCCACAGTCGATCATACTTTGGAAGTAGGTATTGAGGCAAGACTGTCATGAATGGGTCTATAGTTTGTCTAGGACAAAGTGGCTGTAGTGTTCATGAGTACTCCTGGAATAAAATTCGAGTATTGGATTCAACCCACGCTAATTTGAATCACTTCATGGATTTTATCACGAGTGATCATGAGACGATAATATATTATATTCTTCAAACGGGGAGGTATGAGTTGTAGTTTACAAGTCGGTTGCACATTGATGATATGTAAACGCACCGGTAACTCGGTTTTATAAAACATATCATTGTGTGTGATTTGATGAGTAAATAGAGCAAGCATATGAGTCGAAGTTTATCCATTTCTTTTACCCTTAGAGGGATAAATGCGATATTTGTGTGCCCCTCGATGATTTAGTGATGACACCTCTAAGCGCTCGGCCGAGCCTGGACTGATTTGATTTGTTCAATTAGTCAGTCGTCATAAATCAGAAATCAGGAAACAACAGATGGACAGAGAGAATGATTATAATTCATGTCTCATTCTATATGATATCTTGTAGAATGGAGGAATATATGATCCCTTATCTAATGGACGCATCATTGACTAGGTCAGAGTTCGACAACGGCTTTTAAGAGCTACGATTGCTAGTCGGGATTTTGGAGTCGTACTCGAAATAATAGTTATTAGACTTATCCAAGTAGGAGACTGTTGGATTAGGTGTCTAAGCCCATAACTATAATTGGTATGTACTTTACCCGAGAGTAGCATGGTCCATTTGGGTTGCATATCATCAGGATAATTTGTTAGGATGGACTTTTGAGAAGAGGTTATTTATGGTTTATTAATATATTATAAGTTCTAATATATTAATATGAAATCATATGATTTAATTAGTATTGATCAAGAATTATTTTGGAATTAATTTAGTGATCAAAAAGAGACTAATTAAATCAATGGGGACTAATTATGTAAATTAGTTACATTTATATGTTGGGCTTATGATCCATGTTGGACTAAGTTTATGTATGGATACATAAAGAGTTGCGCCACATGATCCATGGATCATAAACCCATGGGTATGGGTTAAGGTTAACCCATGACCTTTGGAATTCCACATATAAATATGTTTCCATAGCCAAAGTCATAATCAATGTTCTTGGAGTTCATATGGACGGTTTTGGTGTATGAAGATTCTCTCTCAAAAATGTCATTATTTGTCCATGGTGTGTTGTGATTCCACTTGAGGCATCCACACTATTGGTGCTACGTTCTTAAAGGCCAAATACTCCAAGGCTTCCAACTACAACAAAAGGTATGTCATCTTACTTGTTCTATTACCCTTGTATCAATGTTTTGTATGCTAGTTAGGGTAATACCTTGGAAAGATCAAGTTTGCATGTATAATAGAGAAAAATAGATCCAATGTATTTAGGATTGCATGTACACCTTAGGAGTGTTAGAATGCTCAAAACCCAACACACACACACACACACACACACACATATATATATATATATATATATATATATATATATATATATATATATAATTTCCAGAGCTAATAACTGTCTTCTCCGTTAAAGCTTTCACGACTACATTTTCCCACTAGAAAGTGAAATAATCACTTCCTTCATTTATCTCTAGGCATTCATCGTCGTTATTCACTCTTCCATCCCACGCCCCATGCCCAACCAACAACGCATCACTCATCGGCTCATCGCCGTCACCGAGCAGGTAAGTTCAATGTCTTTTCCTGTTTCTGTTTTCTGAGAGTAAGGTCTCACTCTGTTCTTTTTTTTTTTTCTATTTTCCGATGTGAAATAAAGGTGATTAGTTAGTTGATATCTTGTAATGGAGGTATGATACTTGCAACTTTCACCATTTAGATGTATACATATAACATTCAATTGCTGTGATTTTTATCAATCAGATTTCAAGTGATACTTGCGAAAAGTCACTCTAAATGTGTAGAGCTCATAGGGTGCTTTTGTAAGTGAAAAGTAATAAATGATTTAGAGAGTTAGAAGTCATACTTGAAACATACATAAATGAGAACAATGGTTAATATTGCAAACCAGCACCTGGTCTATAATTTCTCATATGGTAACAACTGATGAATCTAACTTTCTCATAGGGTAATATGGTATGTTTGTGCTTGAGTTATGGTGACTGGCTTTTTTGATTATGCTTGTGGTTTATATGTTATGGGTTTATGATCACTGATTTATGGAGCGATTATGCTTGTGATTATGCCTGATTATGTTGCTAATTTATGTTATGGATTTATGATCTTGATTAGGCTGCGGATTTATGCCTGACTTGTGTTTATCATTTTTTTTGCTTGAAACAATTTGTGTTTGATGTTTAAGAACTGAATTTTATGTTTAATGTTTGGTTGAAAAAAAGTTGTGTTTGAAGTTTAAAAATATGACATTTATGCATCATTTTAGGCATTTTATGCATTATTTGATTGGATGTTACAATTTGCGGGTAAGCATGCCCCGAACCGCGGATCAGGTACCCTAGGTTGTTGAAAACACAAAAGAACCCTTGCGTTGTGTGAACTATGTCATATGTGTGTCTCTTTCTTGTTCAAACTTTTGTCTAGATTATATATATATATATATATATATATATATATATATATATATATATATATATGTCTCTTTTCTTTTATGAGGTTTAAAATTTCACATTCCAAGAATGGAACATACAAAAGTGAAAGAAGCAATTCAAGTACAATCTCAAGTTGCCTCTTCAGTTCAATCAACCGCAAGGAAAGAAGCAATTCAAGCCCACTCTTCAGTTCAATCAATTGGAAGATTGAATAGAAATAAAGCATCAACATATGAAAAGGGAAGAAAGACACTCATATGTAATTGTTGTCATAGTGTTATTCGTGTTCGCGGTGAGAGTAAAAATGCGACTTCGACTTCAAAAGTTTGTTTTACCATCCCCGAGGAAGAGGAAGTGGAATAGGAAATATGATAAGCCCCGGACTCTACTGGTCTGTAGCAGAAGGGCAAAAAGGGCAATTGAGTAATTCCTTCTTGTTATGCTGCTGATATTTGGACAATGGGTATTTTAGTCTTTTATTTTAATTTGTCAATTAGTGAGTCTAGTCAATCATTGTGGAAACTTTTGTTATAGGAGACAACAATAATGGTACTATGATTTGTTGTCTGCCTTTGTGGTCCACTGTCCAGTCCAAGAGAGTATAAGTGGAATGTTCTTCCATTAGTTTTGGTAGCTAAGAATTATTATGAATTGAACTTTGTTCTTTCTTGGAGATACCCACATCTCAAAAGCTGGGAAATTACCTTAATATTATCAAGTATTTCTATTAGTCTGTGTTAGAATGTATGGGGTATATAATAGATTCAACAATGGTCTATCAAATGGTATCAGAGCATTCTATACTGGAGAAGGAATGGCAACAAGAAATAGAGTTGGCAAAGTGATGGAAGAAATCCTTCAAGGTCAAGCTGAGCTTCTTAATATGATGAACCAGCTCTTGGAGAAAGTTGAACTTTTCAATCGAAGTAGAAAAGATAAGGCTGGAACACTAGAAGAAGAAGAGACTCGTTACTAGTTAATAGAGATGCATCATCAGAACATGATAAAGAGATACTAGGAGACAGAAGCTGAGATAGCCAAAATGAAAAAGTATTACTACTCAGAGGAAGGAATAGAGTCTAAGAAGGATAAGTGGAGAGAGATTTATTACTCAACCATGAAGGAGGAAGTAGCCCATGAGGAGGAGGAAGAGTCCTCAGAAGTTTCTGAGTCGGAATCGGAATCCAAGCCACCACCACAGTTTCCACTAGCAACGTTGCCGCCGAAACAACTAACACCACCGCTTCCACCATCACCACAACTGCCACCATCGTCATCACAAACTCACCCATTTCCTCCCCCGACGTTGATGACGTCGACGCGGTCTTCACCATCATCTGGGTATGAAAACAGAAGAGATGGTGCGATGATTAACCTAGGAGGATAAGTGATAAGAACTTCCATGGTTGATGGGAAAGAAAGAATAGCCATGTCTAAGGTGGAAGAAGAGGTATCCTTGGAAGTTACTGAGTCCGAATCGGAACCCAAGATGGAATCTCAGCTTCCACATTCAGTGTTGCCGGCTCCACCAACACCATCGTCGTCATCTCCACCACCATCAGCTCTGTTTCGTCCACCATATCTAGGACTCGAAAACAGCAGTGATAAGAAGATTTTGAACATAAGAGACGAAAATCGAGAAGTCAGACAGTTGGAGATGCCATTGTCCAAGGGCCGCAAACCACCGCCGCCTTTCCCTCCACCACCGTCGTCGTTGTATTCACCGCAACTGTTGCTGCCACCGACGTCAACACCACCATTACCGGGATTTGATGAAAAAACAAAGGAACGTCTTCAGAGTACCAACGAAGTCTCGATATGGTAACAGCTCCGTTAAATGAAGTGACAAAAAAGTTAAATTTAGGTCAAGGAAGACATGGGCTTGCAAAAGCGCTTTGGAACAAAATGAGAAAGTTGGGCCACTCTAAAATGGATCAGACTATGGAGACGAGGCACTCGATGGGTAATTTTTCCAACTCAAGCCCAAATTTAATTGTATCAGCTATGACTTTGACTAGGAAGGTCACACAGAGGTTAGACCCACGTTATATTCACGTAACACTAACCAAATTAACCATACAATTGGCACTGATTACTCAATCTCGCACCTTTGTTTCTCTTCTATCGATCGAACCTCAATCGGCCAACTCTTACTCAATCACAATACCTACCGCTTCGAGGTTGGAGGCGTTGGCCTATCCTAATCTCCCCTTTAAAACCCTATGGTTCAATATCAGATCCCTGTCATCCAAAACATCCTCTAAACCCTCAAGAACTTTAAGGGAGAATATAATGAAAATGAGTTATTGAGCAACCTTATTGATTCACCTGGGCATATTAGCTTTTCTACTGAGATCATTGTATTCTTATGTATCACATATGGGGTATTAGCTAGTGTTGATTGCGGTAAAGATGTTGGTACCCTGGAAAAAACTTTCAATTGCCAAAACCTTGGAGAAATAGTTCATCTTTTCCTGACTGTTAACAAAATGGGAAAGTATTTCTTTAAACACAGGTGAATGACGAAGAAGCATACCAAACATTTCAAAGGTTTACTGAAGATTCTAATGTCACCTGGTCCAAACATCAGGACCCCTCCTGGGTGATGTCATGGTTTCCCAAGAAAAAAGTATTGTTTCTTTCTTTATTGGGTTTCATGGTGGGGTTTTTACTCTAACCATTTTTTGTGAAAATCTACTATGGTATTCATGAGTCAAAGAAGAACATCCACCAGGAATATCAACGGTGGCCTATACTGACCAAACTTGGTGATGATTTGAAGTCTGACGAGAAAACTTTATATGTGAGAGGTGTTGCTAGAACTATGATATGTTATTATCTTCTACAACAGACTAAAGAAAGCCCTTCTAGTTCATGAGGTGAGGGTTGATGAGTATTCATCAACTGATGGAGCATATAAAGATGAAATTAAATGGTTCGAGATTTTGGTCAATGCTAGAATTGTGTTAACCACCAACGGCAGGATAGCTGACCTGTCAGTTAGAAAATTAAATGCTTTTGATCTTGGGGTAACATATGAAGCATTTTCAAGCAATTAAACAATGTTGTTGGTTAGTGCATGGGAATTGGTGTATTATTGTTGGAATCAAAATACAGGAGGATTTGAACACCATGGAGAATGGCATACCGGAAGTATACACAGAGAGCTGGTGGAGAACCAAGAGATTGCAGAACTACACTATAAGGAGGATGTTGAACAATATGTAGGGATTCACAAGGAGGTGGTTCCTTCACGAATACCCATGACATTGATGAAACCCATGGAAGAAACACAAAGATCACCTTCTTCCTCAAGGGATACCAACTTAAGTATCTTTAGGAGCACAGTTTTGAGGAATTAATCAAGAAGCGATCTGATTTCATGAGTGACAAAATATTCATATGGGTTGAGAAAATGATCAAGGAAGAGATATCTAACAAGGAAGATAGGCTCCTACATGTTGTCTCTCTATTGTTCTCTTCATACAAACTTGATACGAAGTCTATTGTTGATATTAGAACTGGGGTGTTAGAGGAAAAGACTGTAGCAATGCAAGCTTGTGGGTTATTTTTTCTGATTACGAAAAGTGTTTATGTCCCACATTTAGAGTCTCAGGGATTTCTGATATGGCCTACTGGTTATTTCCATGAAGATACATTAAGGGTTGCTGATACTGTTGTTAAGACGATTGTGTGGGATGCAAAGAAAAGAGATGCATGGGTTAACAATCATGGCGGTACAATAAACACAATGAAAAGAACCGAAGACGGGTTAAAGCTGAAAGAGACGAACGATGAACAACAGCAATAGAAGAAGTTTGAGGGATTTGTTGTCTCTTTTCTCGGACCACTAATGTTATACTTACACAATTGGTTGCTTTGGGTTTACCTCTTCTATTTGCCTCTACACGTGATCAAGATGACAAGGGTGACCCATTCCTTTCTTCACCTTGAGGACAAGGTGAAAGTTTGGGCCGCCGGTATTGATAAGCCCTGGACTCTACTGGTCTATAGCAGAAGGGCAAAAAGGGCAATTGAATAACTCCTTCTTATTATGTTGTTGATATTTGGACAATGGGTATTTTAGTCTTTTGTTTTAATTTGTCAATTAGTGAGTCTAGCCAATCATGGTGGAAACTTTTGTTATGGGAGACAACAATAGTGGTACTATGATTTGTTGTCTGCCTTTGTGGTCCACTGTCCAGTCATAGAGAGTATAAGTAGAATGTTCTTCCATTAGTTTTGGTAGCTAAAAATTATTATGAATTGAACTTTGTTCTTTCTTTGAGATACCCACATCGCGAAAGCTGGGAAATTACCTTAATATTATCAAGTATTTCTGTTAGTTTGTGTTAGAATGTCTGGGGTATATGATAGATTCAACAAGGTTCTATCAAAATACCATCAGGAAACGTCAAAGCATGAACTGTTAAAGATATCAATGATCCTTCTCAACTCACTTTTAAATTTTATTGATTACTTTATACTTACATAGAACAAATACTATAAGTGGATGGATCATGAGTCTATTTCTATGGTTTTGAAAACCAGACAGCAAAGTGGATTGGGACTGGTTGAAACCAGTTCTATCTCAGCTTGCTAAAGAATAACTAACACTTGGGGAGTGGTTGTAAACATAATATATACAAAATATTGTTTTTCGGTTTTAAACCCATTTAAGTATTTATATGTAAATTCACTTGGTTTACTAGATTGCGATAATACTAAAAGTCATGAAGCCGATTTGCTGGTAGAGGGACTATTTTCTCATATATATGTAGATGATCTCACCCCGGGGGAGAAGGGACAACTGGATAATGTGAAAGAAGATCTCAAAGACATTTTTCATTTCTTAAGTACGTATTCAGAGCGTAAGAACAAATGATCAAGACATGCTATGTTGGTGATTTTGTATCATCAATGTGTATTTAAGTGTAATGGATTGACTTGTTGACCAAAAATCAATCCTGGTGAATATTAAACAAGTAAGGAAGGTGCGGAGTGCACACTTGTTTAAGTTCATTCAAAATTCAAAGTAGACTGTCATTTAGGTGCGAAACCCCTAAACAAACGGGGTTCCTGGGGCAGTGCCCCTGGAAGCGAGGTCCAAGGGGCAGCAGCCCCTGGCAGGATCCAAGGGGTAGAGCCCCTGGCTGGGGTCGAATTTTCTGTAAATGAACCCGGTTTTTGACTTCATTTTGACCTTTATTAATGATCCGGTTTTAGTGATAGTTTATGACTGTTATAAACTGGTTTTGACAGTTGGAGTAGTTTTTGGACGAAGAAAACTGCCATGACAGTTTTCAGATAAATGAAGTAGTTAATCATTTTGGTCATCATTTTTCCTGGTACAACAACAATCACGAAAATCATACTTCATATTCTCTATTCTTGAAACTCTTATGAGTCTTATCCGATTAAAGGTTGGGAGTACCACCCAAATACTTTAATCTGAAAGTGTACACATGATTCTCAGAATTTCCAAGCCTTTTATTACCCCAAATTTTTAACAAAGATTAAAGTATTTATGTGATCATGGAAAGTGGCGATTCTGTGAAGGACATGACAAACAAGTTTGATAAGTTGGTGTAGTTTGAAGTCCAAGACTTTCGTAGATGGCAGAAGAAGATGAAGTTCCTTTTGACCACTCTGAAAGTGGTGTATGTTCTGAGTACACCCATGCAAGAATTTGCTGAAGATGAAACTTTGGAGGCAACACGAAGGAGATCAAAGTGGGACAATGATGACTACATCTGTCGTGGTCATATTCTCAATGGTATGTCTGACTCTCTTTTTGATATCTATTAAAATGCCAAAACTACAAAAGAACCGTGGGATTCTCTTGAATCTAAGTACATAACTGAAGATGCTTTTAGTAAGAGGTTTCTGGTAGGTAACTTTATGGGTTACAATATGGTTGACTCCAGGCCTGTTATGGAACAATTCCATGAAATGTTAAGGATCCTGGGACAGTTTGCTCAACATAATTTGAAAATGGATGAAGCCATTTCTGTGGCTGTGATCATTGACAAACTGCCCCCTTCCTGGAAGGATATTAAACACAATCTGAAACATAACAAAGAAGAATTGACTTTGACTCAACTTGGAAGCCATTTACGGATTGAAGAGTCCTTAAGGACTCAATAACTTGATAACTGTAACATCCATAAAATTCAAGCCAATTTAAAAAAATTTCAACCAATTAAAACTATTAATTATTACAAAGTGTTTTCAATATAGTTTAGACATCAAAGTATCCCAGAAATCAAGATCATAAAATGAGAGGAGGTGCACGATCACGCCTTCACCTTCCCTCGATCATCTGAAGTACCTGAAACAAAATCCAAAATTGTAAGCCCGAAGCTTAGTGAGTTTCCACCAAAATACCGATACATAAAAAATAGTACACATAAATACAACATGCAATGGGTCCACAACTCTACAGACCGGATTACTCCTGAGCCCACAATATGAGTCTGGCTTGCCTTACAGGCCCATAACTCATATCTGGCTTGCTCCCTCAGTCATTGGACTGTAACGAAGTGATTAGCCCTCAGTGCGAGTCTGGCATGCTCTCCTAGCCCTCAGCTCGCATCTGGAATGCTTAGGAGTCCTTAGTATGAGTTTGGCTTGCTCTCCCTGGCCCTCAGCTCAAATCTGGCATACTCCAGGGTTTGTTGGTCACCGCACGGAGCAGTGCAACCTCAACCCTACCCACATAACATGTCGACATATAATAGATAAATGCGCATACAGATAAACATATAATATCACAGGTAGTCCCACCAACCTAACAGACTAGCATATCAAAACTATCATGCATATCTAACTCATACTCAACATATCAAAAACTACTAGGATATCAAATCCAATGGGCCGACGTTGGTGCCTTAGACCCCTTAGTATATTGAGGAGAACTCACCTCACAAATGTCGAACTTTAGTGATAAGATCAAACTCTCGGATCACAACCAAAAACTCCACCACCTATATTCACCATAGGACCACTTCCATAAATTTCTAATTTACTAAAATACCCCCAGAAGTCAAACTGGTCAACCCTTGGTCAAAGTCAAAGTCAACGGTCAAGGTCAACAGTCCATGTTGACCTAACTCGTCGAGTCCTTCTAGAACTCAAGAACTCGTGAAAACCCTAACTGACTCGTCGAGTCGTCTCACTGACTCGCCGAGTCCATGCAGAAATCATCAATCGGCCAATCTTCATCAGACTCGTCGAGTTGACCATGCAACTCGCCGATTCCCTTCAGTCCATTTCTCATTCAGACATTTTTAAGCTACCCCAAAGCTCCAAATTGCAGATCCAACCTCCTAGGGTGTTGTAATCACGTAAAGTTGCAAACTTTACGTGCATGCAAGGCTCCATGAAGCTAAAACACTAATAACTAGCCTTAGAATAAGGTTTTGGACATGAAGGAGGGCCAACGCTTCATAAAGCTTGACACTTTATGTCCATAAGGGCCTAGAGAAGTCCAGATCTGAAACCATGCCCTTGTGACAAGCTCAAATCCGAAAGTGACTCCATATTTGCACCAGAATGCCCATTTTCTCACATAAAAAGAGATCTAACAAATGAAAGGCCAAGGTAGAGGCTTTTTACCTCCAAATGCAAGCCAAGACAGTGTAGACACTGGATCTACCAGCTTCTTCTCGTTCCAAGCTTCTTACTCTTCAAACTTCTTCAACAAATACACCCAAAACACACTTTAGCCTCTCACACACTCAAGAATAGGGTTTAGGTCAATTAGGGTTTCTTCTGGCCGTCAAAAGGTGGTAATGAGGCTGGAGGAAAGGACTTAAGGTCCTTTAAATAGGGTGCAAACCCTAAAAATTAGGGTTTCGGTGCACAAACTCTACTCGTCGAGTAGGAATCATAAACCATGCGGGCCAACTAGGTTCGGCACGACGAGTTGGGGCCTCCAACTCGTCGAGTTCCCTCAGCAAAATGAATATAAAGCTTTTGAAAATTATACCTAGGAGTCGGGGTGTTACAATAACAATCCCAAAGGCAAGAACCAAGTTGGTTCCTTTTCTGTGAATATGGTGGATTGAGAAGGATCAAAGAATCAAAAGAAGTATAATAAAAAAAGGAATTTTAAAGGAAAGGATGACAAGTCTTCCAACAAGAAGGCTAAAGTGGTGTGCTAGAATTGTAACAAACCGGGTCACTTCAAGAAAGATTGTCGTTTTCGTAAAGTGAACAAGGATGGTGCTGGACAAAGTGGATCCATGGATCCAGGAAAGCAACAAGGTCAGATTTCTGTTTTCATGCAGAATTCTAAATATATTCATAATTATATTTTTGTGATTTTTGAAGCATTTTATGTGCAGGATGATAATGTTGCATGGTGGGTTGATTTGGGAGCAACAAGTCATGTTTGCAAAGATCTATATTGGTTCAAGAACTTTCAACCAATTGAAGATGGATCTGTTGTGAAGATGGGAAATGTTGCAACTGAACCAATCAAGGGCATAGGATCTGTTTTACTTACTTTTACTTCTGGGAAATGTTTGTGTTTGAACAATGTTTTATATGTTCCAGGGATTCGTAAGAATCTCATGTCTGAAATTGTATTAAATAATTATGGTTACAAACAAGTGTTAGAAAGTGACAAGTATATCTTGTCAAGACATGGTTCTTTTATGGGATTTGGCTATGTATGTAATCGAATGATTAGGCTTAATATTAATTATCTTTTTAGTGATAATTATGTTTGCATGGCTTCTAGTAGTACAAGCAATAATTTTAATAAATCTAAATTATGGCATGCTAGACTAGGACACATTCATTACA